GCCGTCGGGCTTGCAGGCTGACCTGTCCTGACCTGGTGTGCTTCTGCATTTCGCCGATAAGGGCGCCCCGCGACAGCCGCAGGCACCTGTGCCGCCGCCGTCGCCAGCAAAGCGTCCCCGGCACGACGTGAACTTGGTGCCAGCGCGGGTGCCTCTCGTGCGCTAGGCACGTCCGCTCCGGGACATCCGAGGGTGCAAAGGCTGCGCCCGCGTGCGACGGCTGCCAGCGCAGCTGACCTCCAAAGCGATTTCACATGTCGCCGGCCCTCTCAGGCACGGGGAGCTCATGAAGCCGAACGTTGCGGGGCGCAACCAGGGCACACCCATGCAGGCAGCCACGCCGCTATGCCGGCGTCATGCCGGACCGGCACTGGCGCCCATTGCATTTCGGGGTGCGGCAACCTGACGCCGGCGTCCCATGGCCGAGCACAACGCTGTGACGCCTGGAGGCGGCCGCGGCTTGGGCACATCATTGGATGTGAAAGTGCGGACCGCGTAGTCGGACCGCGTCTGCTTCTCCGGAAAGACGAGGCGGCATCCTGACGCCCTCGCGTTGACACCCGTCGCGCAACTCCGCGTCGTGCCGGGCTATCCTCCCTACTGGCATGCGGGGCAGCGACAAGGGGCACAGCAGGTCAGATGGGCGTGACATAGGAAGCTCGGTGGGAGAGCTGTTCGCATGCTGGAGGACGGCCTCGGGCAGTGGGGCGTAAGACTGGCGTAAGGCGCAGGCGCCCGCCGCTCGGGGTGGCGGAGCTCGCCGAGCGTGCCTTCCGATCGGGCGCAAGCGGTGCAGCAGATGCAGCAGTGAGCGTGCGGGCCGCGGCCGAGAGACTGTTTCCGCGGGGTCGGCTCGCAGCGGGCTGGATGCGCTGGGGCGTGGACTGGCGCCACCGTAAGGTCGAGGTCGGGCCTTCCATATGCAGCTGTGGTCGCCCAACTTGCGTCAATTCTTGCGTGTCCTTCGCACAAAGTCATCCCGTGACAAGCAGAGGAAACGAGTCAAGCGAGACCAACGCGTCAGATGCATGGTTCGGCACAACAAGTGCATCAGGGGTGCATCACTTGCACACATCAACGATGCTTGCTCTGGTGAACCAGGTGTTGGAAAACATTCTGCGCACACCGCAAATTGGCAACCCTCAGCACAATGGTGGTTAGGAACCCCACGGGCCATCTTTGTGCCAAAAGACCAGAGGGGAATGTGTGGTCCCTTCAAGATCTACTCGCGGTGTGCTGCTACCGGAACCTCTGCGCACCATTGGTGTGCGTGGCAACTCGCGCGGCATAGGGATCTTGAGGGCCGTCGATTTGACGTTCGGGCCGGGAGTCTCCAGGGCTGGCCGGGAGTCTCCAGGGCTGTGTTTTGAGCCCGCGCTTCTTCTGTTTCTTGGGTTTGTCTTGCAAGGTCGTCTCGATGCACTCACTGATCTACGGTTTGCAGATGACATTTTTCGAGATGGCTGCATGTGGGGGTCACATATCACAACAAAGTGCCTTGCCGAGCGGGGTGGCCCGGCACGATGCATGGATGGATGGTAATCAATCCAAAAGGTGAGAGATGTAAGACATAGGCCTTGGGCTTCCCTACCATGGTACGATGCTCCCCAACCCCCCCCCCCCCCGCTTTAGCTCAATACGTATTGAAAACGCCATTGAGTTATGTATATATCTTGCATTAATAAATTATACGGCTTAAAAAGTACACGACTGGTTAACCGTGTAAGGCTGGCCACCGGATACTTTCATTGACTTAAGTGAACCGACTTAACATTTGAACTTACGCGAACTAGTGAAAAACCCAAGTGTGATTCTATCGTTTCTAGTCAAGTTTTTTCTGAATAGGTTTCTAGTTAGAGGCCATTTGCTAGAAGTTGCCGTTTAAATACAGCTATACAAATAGTTTGCAAAACAATTGTGAATTGAAGTTCATCTTGCCTCACCGTTAGAGCAAGTCACAGTTGAATCGCTTTTTGAGTAAGTTGCAGCTTCAAAAGCTTAAGTTGAAAAAGTGACCCGCTAGATATGTATGCGGGCTAAAGCTAACTTACGTAACCAGTCTTACCCCAAAAATGAGACGCATGATGACATTGCCCTAACATGCAGTATTTAGGTAAACGACCATGTTACTAATTCAGCATTTGCCAACAAACGAACACAACAGACTCCTCCTGCTTAAATTTCTCGCCGCAACCTACAAAAACCCGGCAGTTCCTTTCGTGCATTCATACATTATCAGTGTCCTTACCTCGATTTAGTCTTGCTGCTGTTTGTTCCTACAACACACCTAAGAGCTATGTCTTCATGCCGGCTAGCACTATCTTCAAGAAAGGCAACAGGGAGAAGTTGAGTTCTTTTAAAAATCAGCTTCAAGATGCGCAGCGAATCCTCCATGAACATAGCACAAGCACCAACGGCCGCAGCCGGTAGTGCAAAGCATGGTATTTACGGTAGAAGCGAAGGTTAGGTAGGTCCTGGCGCGGGGGTGTAGAACTAACTATATCTACACATACATGTGTGTGTGTCTCGGATATGGGGATGGGCTATGAGGAAATGGTATTTTAAAACAAATATAGGCATATATTTGACTAGACGTTTGTAGATGTGCAACACAAAGACAATCAACAAAAACCGCTTTAAAACAAAAAGCTAACAACACAGGCCCCGCTGCGCCCCGCTCTCGAGTGTTAAACTATGTGTATATATCTGTATATATATATATGTATAAATATGTACATATACATATATTTACGTGTATATATATATATGTACGCAGGACCTTTAGGGCCTATTTGACAGAATCTTTGTTGGCGTAAATATTGAGAAGCATTCACATTTTGCAAACTTTCTGCAAATTAAAGGGAGGCCGAAGTCTGAACCCTTGAGATTCTTCAAGTTTCCATGTTTAAAATAGTTCTGCAACATTTCAGATTTTACAATGATTTCAAGTGTTTCAAAAATATTTAATGGACCTCTTTGGCGCACCTGTGTTGCCAGGGAGGCCGAGAAAGAATTGACATTTTTGAAAAGTCGAGAGCTTTTGAAATCTTCGACTTTTTTCAACAGTATAGCTTTTCAAGAAAGATCCATCTTTGGCTGGTCTGGGTTCCCGTGCAGGCAAAACTGTTTTATTGTTGTTGAAAGTTTCGAAGATTGAAAGAGCATTGTTCACACCTAGATTAGATGACAATCTGGAGTTGCACTTGTTGTTTGGTATTTCGGAACAAAGAAACCGTGGCTATTTAATTTTTGCGGTCTACAGGGCTCCGGCCGAACCACCAACAAAAACCAAGCAAGCCAAAGCATGCCTTAGGGTTTAGGGTTTAGAGTTTAGGATGTAGGGTTTAGGTGTGAAAGACACATCAATTTCTGAGAGCCCTAGGCCAGTCACGATGCATGCACAACGGGGAGCAGCGAGACGCAGACGAACCGGTGGCTCCAGAGTGCTGTTTCTACCGTCGTCTAGAAGCAAGAGGCACATTTACATTGCAAAGCTGAGGGCCAAGTCGGCCAGGACGTTCTTGAGCCAAGCACGCTGAACTGGAGGCAAAGGCACGCATGCCTGCCCAGCACACGTGGCATCACGTGGGTCGCCATGCAGGAGGCGGAGGCAGCTCGGTCAATGCTCCGGGCGAGGAATCGGATGCAAGGTGGTGGCCCTTGGAACTTCAGTGGCCACCGACCTCGATGGCGAAGACGAGGCCAGGGGCAACAGGCAGAGCTCAGGTCGGAGACGTGGCCATCATCGACCACCATCCCACAAGTCCAAGCCGTTTACAAATGATTTCGAGGCGCCTCTCATGCTAGTGTTCAACATCGACGTTGAGGTCGCGCTCAACGACACTCGCTGCAACGATGGCGCGGCAGCTGCGCGATGCTGAGTGCTCGAGTGGCCCGCACAGGGGGTCGAGGTCTTGAAGCTGCTGGCGGCCAGGGGAGGCGCGGGCAGGGTCCCAACAGGCTCCCGAAACATCTTTTGTACAAGATCGTGTGAAGTAAGCACCGTACTCGAAACTCGCGCGTCGTCTCAGAGCAATGTTTAGTTGAAAAGCGTAGCACTGCGTATGCGCCTGGTCAATCTAGCGAAGGCTGCTGATAGAACTGGCACTGGAGGGCGGGGTTCTTTTTCTGGGAATCTGGAGGTGGAGCAAAACCACGTCACGGCGTTGGTACTACTCGCGTTCAATTCTGTTTCCAGCACATGCGAGGTACAGTCACAGTCAGAGTCAGGAGCCTCTTTTTCCGGCCGCCATTTGTTTGGCAAGTGCAGATTCAGGAATCCCACGAATCGCCCCGGGTGGACTCCGCAGCCGCGCGTCACCCCCAAGTCCGGCTGGATCACTGTCGGCGCGGCCACGTCGCCTAAGGAGCGTCTCGTTCCAGATTGCTGCATGCAGGCTCGGCATTTGCCTGCTTTGCTCTGTTTCCGAGTGGACCTTTTCTTGGGTTACCCTCGCCGCCGTTTCCCGTCCTAGGATACAAGCTCCGCTCTCTCGGCCCTACGCCCCTCTTGCCTACACCATGAATCCAGCGAGGACTCGGGCCTCAGGGCCTCTCTGCCGCGTTCCCCTAGGCATCAGCCCCAAAGAACCCAACAAACATGAGGGACCTGCCAGGTGAACAAACCTTCGGTGGCCCGAAGTGCCCTTAACTTAAGGACAGAGAGCGTGTTTTTTTCCGATATGCATTTAGCAAAGCGGGTTCTTTGTACAGGTCAACTCTTCGTAGCCGGAATAGCAGGTCGCTGTCTGCTCTGGTCTTGGTTTTACTTGCTGCCCGCAGCTCCCTGCATCCGAGCGACCTTCTCCCCTGTGGGGAGCGTCGAGTTGTGGTGAGACGGTTAACTGAGATGACTTCTAGTGAGACCGTGGCCGGGGTAATGCCCAGCCTACATGCACTGCACACTGTCGCAGGGTGGGAGAGTGTGTGTGCTTACGGGCTGTGCTGCATTGCGTTGGGTTTTGTGGGTATGGGAACAACACGCACACGGAATGGGCCCATCACGGAGCGGCACGGTACGGTGCCACGGCGAACCTGAGCACCCGAACGGTTCACTCTGAAAGTGCTCCGAAAATCTTCTCCCAAGATGCTATGACACTTTGAGGACTTGGGTACTATCAATTAAGGACTGTGAGTATAAAGGTGAACATCCCAACTGAGGACCTTCAGAGGACCTTCCGAGGACCTTGCAGGCGCTGCTTCCAGTGCTGGAACTCGTCGTCGTCCAGCTCCGCACCATCCTGATCGTACGCGCGAGGCTGGTTCTCTTCCAGGAGCACCCTTTTGTTCACCTCCTTTTTACTTACTTGGAGGTTCAGGGTACGTATAACCCCAATTCGAACTGCACTTACAAACCCCCTAAGTCTCACCTACTTAAACAGTGCCCTTCGTACTGCATTTCACATCTCATGGCTCCTGTCGTACGATCAGCTGCCCACTGTCATCCTCCTCCTGGACAGCATTCGTCAACGTCCGCGACTTTGTGTTCCAACTGAGGGTACGGTCACCCTGCTGGCAGTATCCCGGCTCCTCCTCCGCCAGGTCGGGCTCATGCACCGGCCGCGCATGCCGCGCCTTCTTTGCCAGGCGCCGTGCCAGAACCTGAACAAACAGCAAGACATGAGAAAGCCCGCAGCTGTTGGGTTGGCAAGGCACTACCGTTCTCGAAAAGTCCCACCACACATTCCAACACACATTCTTCTTGGGTGCCCGGCTGCACGGCGGCCCCGTCTAGCAGCTATGTGCGGTAGCGGCGGCGGAGCGGCAGGCAACCACCTGAGAGCGAAGGCTGGTGTAGGGCTGTAGGCACCCTGCGCATCCCTGCGCGCTGCAACACCTGCATCTTACTACTATTATTACTATTATGACTGTTATGACTATTATGACTATTATGACTATTATTTCTATTATTACTATTTTTTACTGTATGTCCACCCCTAGGCAGTCCCTGAGCGAGCTCCGGCCTGATGAGATGCTTCCGAGCCTTGTCTACCTGAAAGGTCTCACACGTCTTTTCCGCCCCCCCTTAAGGGAATCATGAGAATCTCACCTGGGAGTTCCCAAAACATGTGGGGTCCCACAAGAAGGATCATCGGAGTTTAACATTCAGAGGCTCAGTCTCGCGGGGCTTCACGCGTCACCATGGGCCTCTTCCATGACGGGCGAGCGCTTCGCACCATACCGGGGCTCAACTGCATCCAGCCGCGCCAAGGCCTCCACGACTGTTGGAATCACTACTGCAACGCCTGAAATCCATCTTGGTAGCGTCGTGCCACACATGGCAAGAAGAGAAAGAAAATGAAAGAAAGGTCCGGACGAAAATGAAAGGCTCGAAGACCGATTCCCGCGCGGGCTGCAGTGCTCCTTTGTACCTCCCGGGGCAACTGAACAAGGGGGCGTGGCAGGCTTTTCCAACACCAGGGGCCAAGGGATCTTTCTGCAGAAAAAGAAGGAAGATCTCGTGGCCTCAGCCTCCGCTGCTTGTCCATGAGCCTGGCCTGATCAGACCGTGTCCCAAGGCCTCAGAGTTGGGGAACATCTTGCTTCAGCGGGCTCGGGGCAGTGCCCCAGTGCAGGGTCAAGGCCTTGCATGAGGATCCGATCAAGATTGCGCTGGCGATGCCGCGCCATGTCGACGCGAGCCTGCCCCAAGGAATTACTCCCTGCATTCAGAGCCCAGCAGAGATGGTGCATGATGGTGCTCTGCTGGCCTTTGCCGCCCGAACGGCAGATTTGGCCCACCACCGCGTCTCTGACCTCGGCTGCGTCCCCGATGTTTTTGGCCCACACAGATTGCTTGATTTTGCAGGGGCAGCGCAAGAACAGTCTCTGCGGCCCTCGCATGTGACTTCTGGCAGCGACGAGGGCCTCGATCCGAAGGCAAGCTCAGAAGCAACAGAGCAGGAGGAGCAGCGGCAGCGGCAACAGCCGCGACCGCCTCGATGGCATCTTGGCATTCGCCGGTGAGCTGCCGTCCCACAGGATCCTGATGCGGAACGAACATGAACAACATGAGCATCTGCCAGAGAACGTCCTGTCACTTCGGTTGGAAGAAGCTCCAAGGCAGCTGCCAGCATCAGCCGCACCGCGAAGCCCCTGGCGTGGCGCTGGATGCAAGCAGCCGCCTTGTGGCAGCCTCGGAGCCAAGGATGAACAGGGTGGCAAGAGTTATCTGGGCTAAGGCTACTGCCCTGCAGGAGTCCAGGTGCTGGAAGTGCTTGTAGTTATATAGTTATGATTATTGATATTATTATTATTTACTATTATTAGTATTATTAATATTACGATTATTCTTATTATTCTTAATGTTACTATTTCTATATTATTATTCTTCTTATTATTATTTTTCTGCTTATTGTTATTGTTATTATTCAGAATATTATCATTACTACTACTATTACTAGTATAGGCCAAGGCATCCAGCGCATCTGCTCTGAGTCACGCACGCGCGATCCACTTGCGGTGCACTGCACTGTGCCATGCCTAGGCACGGTCGCAGTCGCCCACTGGTCGCCCCCAAACCTCCTCCCGAATATTAAACCCCCCCTACCCCCCTAATATTATGTACTCCCAATATACGAAAAAAAGACTACTCTGTTTAATGATAGGGGGCTTATTTTTAGGGGAGGATACTAGGGGGAGGATATTGCACCGTTCTGCTGAAGGTTCGCTACGGCTCCGGCTCTCTGAATTCGGAGTACAGCGTTGAGGAGCTTGGCAGCTCGGAGGTTCCATTTCCAAGCCTTTGGTGCATGGCAGCATGGGTGGTTGTCAAAATGATGGTGCCTTTTTTTTGGATTCCCTATTGTAATACGGCACCTAATATTTGGGGTACCCCCAAAAGGGATTATAATTTTGACAGCCACCCACATGGCAGTGCATGGCGCATCAAGCTCGTTGCTTTCGCATGCTTTGCTTGGAGCTCAGGCCTTGTAGTTCCGGAGAATCTTCCATGCAGCGTCGTCCTTGTGCATTATGCCCAAGGCCTCAGAAAATTCACACTTACCTCAGCCATTTTGCAGCTGCGCATCGGGTGCTTGGGAGCCAACCGCACGCAGTCCGCGCCAATGTCGTTGAATTCGCATCTGACATGCACACCGAATGGCACATCATGACACATCATGACACCAGATCTGCGCCACATGCACACAACGGCACGATGCAACGCTCAGCGATGCACTGCGGGCGCAATAGCATTCTGCTTCTGCCCCCGCAACTTGATGTAACGGTATCTCCTTGGCATTCGGGGCGTTTGGAAGCGCTCACTCTTCGTGCCGGAGCCACTTCTCAGGTCTCTGCTGCTGGATTGAAACAGCAGCTCGGTGATACAGCAAACCTCAGCGCAAGGTCTTCTTGCAGCAGTCATATGAATGGAAGCAGCCGGGGCACAGGCGAAGATGAAGCCCTCTGAGGACCATGTGCAGCAGCACAACTGCAAGCCTTAGGTGTCCCAGGGGGTTTTTGGAAGGCGCTACCTTTGCAAAGGCACAAGACCCGGGCACGAAGGAACAATGATCATGCATCGCCCTGTCGGCCATCTCGAACAATTTGTCCGTGACCTCGGCATCTGGATTTTACGTTTATATCGTGCTATATCGTCAGTACTACTACTTGTATTTAAGCTGCGAACTGACTTCTGCCATTTTACCTTATGGCTGTCATTACTATGCGAATGACACGTGTCCGAGCTCCGAGCGGAGACGAAGCGGTTGGCACGCATACCTTCAATGGCTCACAGACCGAAGAGCTCCCTTTGGAGATTAAGGGTTTGAGGGTTTAGGATTTGGGTTAAAAATGTTTTTAAAAAAACAAAAAATCACAATGAAGCCCAAGGCTCCGAAAGCCGCAAAACCCCCCAAAACAATCTCCGGGGGCCTGCTCCAGCTTTCGGGGAGGCTGGATCCGCCGAGCCTGCTGACGCACAATCCCCCCGCCCTCCCTCGGTCACCGTGGGGCTGGGTGGCATGGCAGGGTTGGCAGACAGAGGAACGCAACAAAGGTGCTGCCTTTGGCCAGCACGCTCTGCATGGCTTCCTCCTGCGCAGGTTCGGGGGCTCTGGCACAGAGGGGCTTTTTCGAGCAGGTGAAGGGTGTAGAGCTTGTGCTCAGATTGGACACTGGCAAACGCTCGTCTACGAACCCTCGACACCTCAAGTTCTGAGAAGCCGCCCTTCCCAAATGCACAATGTCGCCCTCTCACTCTCGAAACTCTCCAGCCTGGCCCCGCATGAAGTACCCAACCTGCGGACACATCTTGGTTTCAGCCAGGGCAGGGATTCGGGGTCATTAGAGCAGGCAGCCTGATTTCACAACGTCCCACATCCCGTGATCAGTCTCTCTGCCTGCTGAAGGACCCGCATTGTCGCGGCGCGGGTAAAGTGAGACAGCGCCCCACCTTCCGGCCTGAAACGGTCAGCTCTCTGCGCGTAAGACGGACCCTATTTCTGAGAACTGCCCATGGATCTGACTGGGATCCAGGCAACGGTGTGGAAAAGGGTGATGTTGGCGACCTGAGCACAAGGTATTCATGGCAGCGTCCAGGGATCTGTGACGCCGCAGCTCAGCAGCGCGTTTTGATGATTTTTGGGATGTTGAGCGTGCTTCTGTTTGAGAACTCTTCTTCTACATAAGCAAGACAGGCTTTTTCTAATTTTCAAAGCCAACTATGCATTGAACTGGTGAGCCAGCCAGGCTTGATACAACGAGTATCACATCCGCAAGGGGTTGGGGGGGTGGGGGGGCACTCGACTGACGCATCAGGGCGCCAAGCGCGCACACTCCCACTGGCGGCTGGCCAAGGTCCAGGCGCCCCGGGCGTGGTTGTAGCCACAGACATGGAGTCACCGCCATCTGCACCAGAGCGCCCACTTCTCAATGACACGTCAAAAGCTGGCCAGCTTTCCTCCGGCTACTGGCGGTACTTGCCTTGAGCCAGTCAGAACAAACCCGACATTTGGCAGACCTCAGGCTGCACCCTGACCCGGGCCTCTTGGAACATCCAGACCCGTGCTCATCCTTCCCTGGTTTCGCTTGACCTCAGAGCCCCAAAGCATGGAAGTCTTGAGCGACAAGATCTGACTCTAGCTCGCATGCTTCACCCTGAGCCCGTCCCAAAACCGACTCAAGCTCTCTTTCCGTCACTTAGAGTGACCAGAATGATGCCCCATTTTCATGGTACGGCTGCCGACAGAACATGAAGAGGAAAAAAAGGGAGAGACAAGAAAAAGAAAGCAGGAAAGCAGGCCACGACTGCGCCCCCCAAGGTCCCCGCGGCACCTCTGGCCTTGGGATCGGCCTGCGGGTGCCGTTGGGGGGGGGGGGGGGGGGGAGGGGGGCCTTTGGGGCAGTGCAGATTCGGTGTAGGGAAGAGGGCCTTACTTGGGAAGCTGCTGAGGGGGTGGGGGGCTCCTTCATGCGCAACCTCGGCGCTAAACTCCAAGCTTCGGCCTTGGACTTCGACTTTGCCTTTGCTTTGGTCACAGGCTTCCCATCCTGGGAAAGGGCAGATAGGGGCAAATGATCAAGAATCAACTGACTGCTCTAGGTTTTGCCGCCCTCTGGGCCTTAGGATTCAGAGTGCACATCGAGCTGACGAACAACCGTATGGAAGACCAGGCAGGAATAGCGAGTGGCCATGTAGAAAGGTGCAAGACTGAAGCGCGATGTCTCCCGTTAGCGTCCTTGTCCTTCTCTGCGGAGAAGTCCTTCATGTGGTTGCCTTGGCACGGGCACATCAGCACAGGAGGCTGCAAAGCATGGCCGTAGGTTCCGACATGTGGCACAGCTTGAAGCTGTGGAGCGGACTGAGCACAATCGCCAGTGCTGCCACTGTGCCATGCTGCTGCGTCCTCAGGATGGCGCGCGACTCTCAGGTGGGAGTCGGATGGAGTCGGCCGCTGCAATGGCACTGCAGATCTGCTGAGCTCCGCGGCCAATCGTGTGGCAATCGGTGGTCAAGCTCGCTGCTCAAGACCTCCATCATCTGGGCACCAGCCTCGGGCTGAGTAGTGCTGGCCACACGGCTGTGAAGCCAATCCAATCTTGTCCGTGCTTTGCTTCCCGGCGGTGGCATCCAGCCCTTGGAAGCGCAGGTGATCTTCTGTGGAGATCGTCGGGGACTCCTTGGCATCAATCTGCCGTGACTGCAGTGGAGAGCCTGCGGGGCTCTACAGCAGGCCGGACTAGGTTTCCAGCAAGCGCTTGACGCATGGTCACCAAGACCTGACTCAATTCGGCATCACGCACACACCATGGAACGCCAGGCTCACAATTCACTCACATGCTTTGCAAATCGCAAGGCCGTGCCTCTGCCGTCAGGTAAACGTGGCGATGGCTGGCTGGCAGCGTGTTCAGCACCAGACCTCGCGACAGATTCGTAACATTTCATAACCACCGAGTCGAGGGTGGGTCGAACTGATCTTCCTCAATGAGGCGGCAGCAGGGCAAGCTTTCTTCCGACAGCGAGATGAGCCAGTCGTGATGGTGCTTGACCTTGGAGGACCATACAAGACGAGGTCAAAAAAACCGAAACACATGCCAACCACAACAACACACTCTTCTCTTTAGGACCCTCGAGGGCGTGACCGTCCCACTTGTCTCCCAAAGAGTCGCCTCGGTCTACATCCCGCTTGTGTCCGGGCTTGATTTCGGTGCTTGCCTTGCTGGCCGAATAGGACGATGACGGGGTTTTTCATCGCAGATATCTGAAGAATCTAAGGACTGGACCAGTGAATCACCGGGATGCGCTGGTATCTCTTTGCCAACCGGGATGATCTGCCGAGATGGTTTCCGGACTTGCGCAATGTGAGTACGACTTGCAGGCTTCCTTCAGCAAAAACCGGCGGCCAATAAAGTCAAGGCAGTGGCGGTGAGGGTCGTGAGAGCGGCGGTGGTGGTGGTGGCGGCGGCGGTGGTGGTGGGCGACGCTGACGGCGACGGCGACCACCACCACCACCACCACCACCACCACGATTTCGACGACTACGACGACGACGACGGCTACGACGATTTCGACGATTACGACGGTTACGACGATTACGACGATTACGACGATTACTACGATTACTACGACTACGACGATTACGAAGAGGACGATGACGACGACGATGACGACGATGACGACGATGACGACGATGACGATGATGACGACGATGACGACGACGACGACGACGACGCCGCCGCCGACGCCAGCGGGCGGCGGCGTTGGCGTAGGCGTTGGCGCTGGCGTTGACAATGACGTTGACGACGACTTTGACGACGACTGTTGACGACTAGCCCTAAGCGAAGCAGCAATGGCAACATGTTCAGCTTTGCGTTCCGCAGGGCCTCACGGGCAATGAAGCTGCGGCTGAGGGCGAACTTCACAGATTGGTGGGCCATGGCGTAGCACGCCTCAAACATAACGTCATGGAGTTGATGTGAAGTGGGGTGCAGCTGCCGGCGAACTCGATACATGTTCCTGCAGTCCAAGATGTTGAGCGCTCATCTAAAACTCAGAACCTGTGACAAGCTCCTTACTGGTTCCATTCGCATTGTCGGCATACTCCGAGCGGTGCTACGGCTGCGAAAAGAATCCCGACAGCTGAGCCGAACGCCCACTCCACCGTTGGTGGAAAGGCCTCTGCAGGAACCTGGTTCAGCCTCGGCGTTCGCTGAGAATTGCACTTGCACGTGCGCCGTTAAGGGCCCACTTGGGCCCGGAACAGATGCCGCGTGACCGAGAGCAGCATGTGGGAAACCAGATCAGGCTTGTCACCTGAACACGCCAGTTCCTAGCACACTGAGATCATACCACCCATACCACTGTACATCCACACAAGTTAAGCGCAAGGCTGTCGTAGTGCAGGTGCTCTTGCCCAGAGACACGCAGACCTGTGCGAGTCTGAAGTGGCCCAAACACCATGTGCTAAGCCCGGTTTGCAAGAGTCTTGCAAGGTCGAGGGTCCAGGGCCTCGCTTGCCAATCTCTTCGTTCGCCAGCTTACCAGTCACCTCACAGCACGGAGGAAGGCATGAAGAAAGGTCAGTACCCATATGTTTTGCTTGTAGATATGTCATCGCTAGAATTCGTCTTCCTGCGACTACGAAGCTATTTCCTACGATTTGCCACCGTCAAAGCCAGCCTGTCAAAAGGACCACAGGGGTACTAGTACTAGGTCGGGGCTTGTGTTGGAAACAAGGCTTGGAAACGCTAACCTGGAGGCCGGAGGTGCATAAGATGAGTTGATCTTAGACACATGCCAGACTCACGCGTCCAGCACATGACACGCTGACTGCAGCGGTTGCAAAGGCAATGCATAAGTCATTCGCCCCCCCCCCCCCCCGGCTTAGGTTGTGTCTTTCCATGCTAGGCCCCGGCATGCACAAGGCCGATGGTCCGCTGCATGGAGGCCTCACACCACAGAGCGCTCACCCGAAAACCCGACGACATCTGGGGGGGGGTGGCCTTGACTTGAGACAGCACCTCCTGGATCTCGGCAGGCCTCAGGACAAAAGCTGCGTCACAGTGTGTGGGCTATGGTCGGCTATCCTCAGCCTGGGTGCGCTGGCGGAAACTTCCGCGACTTGAAGTCCTAACCCCTATCCAGATTTCGGGGCTCTTAGGTTAGGGGAACCCATAAGGCCTGCCAGGAGCCTCGAGCGACCCAAAAAGCTCGACTGGCAGAATCTGTGCACCCCGGCAGGTGCCGCCACCACCTGGGAAGGCCGACTGGTTTGGCTTGGGGCTTGGCCCTCTGGATCTTGCTCAGGGCTTCGAACTTGACATTTTGGGAGTCTCGGGTGTGTAGACATTGTGGCCCAGCTTCACGTGCGCACATCTGGGTTTCGCGGAATTCATGAAAGTCTCGAACCCTTTTCAGAAAAAGCCATGGGCATCCGGCGGATGGATGTAGTGTCGAATCTCAGAGGCTGCCGTGTAGAAGGCCGTGAGCAGCCTTGGAACTCCCCCCAAAATAACCCCCCCCAGTTTTCAAGCCTTTAAAGGGGCTGAGGGTTTAGGGCTTAGGGTTTAAGAGCTTTTTAGACTCAGGGTTGAGGGACGCAGCTAACATCCTAAATCCATCGCAGAGGCCCCGGGCGTGCTGATCTTCTTGTCGGCCTCTGCTTTGGTCTTCCTAGCAGAGCGCAAAAAAACTCCGGTGACTCTACGCCCTGCCTACACCAAGGTGGTGTGGCGTGGGGGTTTGGGGATCTCCTGAACCCTAAACCAGCCATACCCAGCCATAACCAGCCAGTGTCTGGAGCCCGTCCTCATCGTGACCACTCGGTGGTATTCCGAGTGGCGGCGCCAGTTTCTCTGGATCCTGGCTCACAGAACCCTCGAAAACGCGAGGGCAAACCCATACTTAGCGGCGCGGAAAATCCTGGCCATCTTCAACCAGGCCTCCCCACGAAGAATAAAACCCTAAACCCTGAAAACCCTGAGCCCGAAGCCGTCCCCACGGCTGAGGCCCCAGCAAGACAGCGGCGGAGCCCTCCAACTTGGATCGGATCAGCTCCAGGAACCTCTGCCTGCAAACCGAAGTAGACAAAAACAACCTGAGGCCTTTAAGCCTTTTAGGGTTTAGGGTTTAGGGTTTAGGGTTTAGGGTTTAGGGTGCAGGGTTTAGGGTTTAGGGCTTAGGGTTTAGGGTTTAGGGTTTAGGGTGAACCCCCACAAAGGCTTCAGGCTGAAGAATCCCGAAAGCCCCGCGAATATCTGGCCCACACCTTGAGTATGCGGCGAGCACGGAGCACGCACGCGTGAAGCTGTGACTAGTGAGTCTGTGGGGAGCCGGCGCCTTACCGTCTCCATCCTGTCATAGAGGATGACCTTGACGTCCAGCCTGGGGGCTTGATCGAGATTCTACGACTCTTGTGAAACTGCGGGGCCCATCCATCCTTATGATGTCCCAAGCCTTCGAGTATTGATATAATGCTGCCCCCGGATTGCCCTCCACATCGGGGGCGCGGCTGTGACTGAAACCTGCGCCAGTTCCGCTGCAGCATGATGACCTCAGCTGCTGAATATAAGAGGTTGTGAAGAGCCAAGGCCACTCGCTTCTCAGCTGTGCACAGATTCCAATCTCCTTGCCGTCATCTTTCGAGCCTCACAGACACAGAGCGAGGAAGAGTACAGGTGACGATGGCCCTTCACAACAAAATCGCAGCATCACTCTGAACGCGCCAAAGAAACGGAGTCTACGCAGAACTTGCACCACATCCTGACCCCTGGCCTCGTATCCTCGCCAATGGGCTTGTACCTGGCTTCGTACAGGGCGAGGCTTGGCAACAGATGGTTACCCATCTCTGAAACCCTTAACCTACTCCTTCGCTGCCCCCAAAGAAGGAATCACGATCCCTTGGCAAAGAACTCAAAAAAAAACGGAGCTCCAAACCCTAAGCCCTGAACCCTTTTTGACAAACTCAAGAGGGGCACGTAGGCGGCAGCACAGCCCTTCCCTCGCCGCGCGTCGCGAAGAGCCACTCCCCGTGCCATAGCTGGGCAGAGAGAGCATTGTGGAGTTGATGTGCGGTTCAGGGTTTAGGGCCGTTTAGGGTGCCTTGGAGAAAAGAGAGGGGACTTAGCTTCAAGTGACTCAGGAGTTCGGAAGCTAGGTAGTGCATGACAGGGAACCCGCAACAGGGCCTTCGGTTCAACACGCATACATGCAAAACAAACTATATACAGACCCATACATACACCCACACATCTTAGGGCAGCTACAAGGGCCTATGGTGGAGCCCTACCCTATATACCCCATGCAACCCAACCCCCCTTCCTTCCGAACCTTTAAGACAGGTAAGCACACACACACACACACTGGAGTGTTCAATAGCTTCGCCTCTGATCGCTTACTTTGCAAAGCACGGCCCCGTCTTTCGAGAGCCGGGCCTTGGAGCTTGGAGGCAGCCTGCCACCGCTTTGACCAAGGCCCTCCCCTTTTCATCCTCTGGGTTCCTAGATGTTCCTATCAGATTAGAGAATATTCAGGGGATTTCAGGGGTGTAAAAAGGGCGTCCCCGTTTTGAAATGGTTCACACACGCTTCTCACGCATGGTTCGTCTGGTTCACAACCACCAGTGTCTGAGACGCCGATGGACCTGCAACCTCTGTGAACAGCAACTGGCGGTTTGGCGCAGGCCTCGTTCATTTCCCGCATCGGCCTGCGGCCGTAGAGCCTGCCGCGATAGTACCGCTGGATTGTCCTGAGCTGGATGTGACATGAGCCGGCAAAGCCTCGATCCGTGTGGGCCAAGGACTCCCCCAAGACTTAAGACCCATTCAGACCCATCTTGAGGCCATGACAGGCCGGCCTTCACCAGAACCTGATGCCGTCGCCTCACTGATCAAATCTTCCCAGCAGGGTTGGCGACAAACGACGGTTCTCCCATCGCTTGGGGTCTCACCGGGTCAGTGTGCCCTTCCACTTTGCCTGGAAGCGGGTGATGTCCTTCATCCTCAGAGGTCATGGAGAGAATGTTTAGGGTTTAGGGTTTAGGGCTTAAGGTTTGGGGTTTAGGGTTTAGGGTTTAAGGTTGAGGGTTTAGGGTATGCCCAGCTGCATGCCCAGCTGGGCACCCCCCCAGCTCACGACTTGGAATCCATCAGCGAAGAACTGAGCCAGCTGCGTCTGGTAGTGCTCGCACCGGACCTTGTAGCCTCTCCACACCGCTTGGAATCGCGTCACCTGCCGGCGAGGCTAAGCAGCACATTAATGCTGGCAGACCCTACTGCGGCCCTTTCCCTAAACATGTTCCCAAACCCGAAACGTGCGGCGCAAAAAAGAAGCACCGACATGCCATATTCGCCTCGGCTTCCTGCCGAGAAGCGTCTGGAACAAGCAGACCCGGATCGGGCCTCCTTCCCCCTAACCCAACCCTTCCCCCCGTGCCAAATTTTCTGACGCAACCCCCCCCCCCGCCCTGTGGGACCCCCCCCAATCCCTTGGAGGAGCTGCAAACCGATGCCGTGGAGGGTCCCGCTTGTCGGTGGCTCCTACAGGGGGAGTGCCTCAAAAACCCCCCCCCCCCCCCCCCCCCCCCCCCCCCCCCCCCCCCCCCCCCCCCCCCCCCCCCCCCCCCCCCCCCCCCCCCCCCCCCCCCGGACCCGCTCTGCCCTTCCTCCCTTTTTTTGCGAGACCCTCTTTCCTCATTTCCTGTCCTGGGGCCGGCCCGGCTGCCGAGGCGGCGCGCGCAAGCGTTTACAATTAGGATGTTGCAGTGGGCAAAGGAAAGGAAGCTGGGACTGAGACGTGGTGGAGCATCCTGGACTGCTTCTCATTGGCCTGGTAGCGCATGTACCATCCTCAGCGTTGTGTTTCTGCTTTTAGAAGTCCACTGTAATGAAGGCTTTTAAGGGAGTTGCTCGGGGAACTCCGTCTCCATTTGAGGCATAAGGGTTCGCTCATGTTACCTCTGAGTCTCACGCCCTTGAGGAGCTGCAGGTTTCTTGACGTGTCCGTCTTTGCCTTGCGCACGTCCCACCTCAGCGCGCAGTCGACGTGTCAAGGTACGGCCAGCGCAGCCCTTCTGCAGGCACTGCGCAAGCAAAAAAGGCATGCCGGGGCCCCTAGCATTCTCTTGCTCTTCTGGATGATCTTTGCAGCCTGGTTTTGGCGGACGATGCTGATTTCAACAAAAACTTCCCAGGGTGAGAGCAGTCCGCTCCTACGAACGCAAGACGTTTCTTGATTCTCTTCGTTTCTTAACTGTCGGAGACACCACACCAGAACAATGGCAACCCCGGCCTTCAGCTCTTGCTTGATGCGCTTTCGTGTGATGGCCCCACGAATGTTCTTCTGCAGCAATGCGATGGCTTTCTGCTCGTGCGCCTTCGACCTTGGGCGCACCCGCAGGGAGCGCGTGCTGTCTTTTCAGAACGCCGTGGCATCCTCGATTGTGGTCAAGTGCTGCAAGGCCGGTGCATGATGTGCGAAGGGTCATCTGCAATCACATCGTTGCGGAAGTTGTAGTAGTAGCCTGGCTGGCTGAATTCTGTGGCGATTTGTGGCGGGCTGATCATCACTCAGGTGCGTGGTCCCTCAGGCCTTCGGCCGTCGGCGCGAGCCGCGGGGGCTTCAAGCCTTGGGATTCCCAAAGCCAAACCAAGATCCACGAGAAGCACAGAAGATCACATGGAAGCACTGCAATCATACCCGAAATCTGAACGTTTCAAGGGTCAAGGTTGCTCGAGGTCGCTGCGCTTCAGGAACCAGTGCTTCTCTGGCGCTTGTAGCAAGGCGGCTTCGAATGTGTCGGCCTAAAGTCCCCGGAGCTCGGAGCAACTCGGAGCAAGCGCATCAGCCCAAGACCCTCATCGACCCCATCAGCTCTGAGCGCCGCACGTGGAAGAAGAGCCACGTGTCTCCACTTTTGGAGCCATTTCGGTCCGACCTGAAAGGACTTGCATTGACTAGCAGTGACTAGTAGCACCACAGCCCGGCAGGTTTCAATATCTGAAACTGCAGACGACAGCCTGCAGCAACAGCCATGTCTGCCAAGGTGCTGGTTGTCTCGTGCCAGGAACCGGCGCCGCATGGAGAAGCCAACGTTCAAGAGCGGCAGGTGATCATGCATTCGGGCGGCCTACACCACAGAGCGACCGGGCTTCAAGCCATGATCCGGGATTTGGTGCGGGGTTGAAGATAGTGCGCCTCGGACGCTGTCAGGTATCTGCAGCCCGGAATCGGCGACGGCCAGTGCTTCTTCCCCCGCGCAGTCCTGGGCCGTGCACGACATGTGCTTATGTGCATGGCAGGATCCATCATGGCACAAGTCGCGCTCAGATCCGAGCTTGTGCGATGAAAGGAAGCAAGTGGCGCAGAAGTAGTCTGTACCTTCATGAGGTCGGCAAAGTCAACAGTGTGTCAACGCGACATGCAAGTCTGCGACGCAAGCTGTCAAGACGAAGGTCACACTGCTGGCACCATACGATTGCATCCGGAATGCCACACCTGCCACATGCTCTACTTTGGGAACTACGAAGTCTGCACAGAGACTGGGCGGGCTTAGATTGGACACCTGCGCATTGCAGGTCACCGCGCAACATGCTTTCAAACATGACCGGTGGTGCTCGCTACATTTCATCTGCACAAACCCACGATACCTCAGCCCAGCACATTTTGCAGGTCTTGGAGTCTTGGGGTCGTCTATGCATTCACGCATTGGCAAAGCAGCTTCTGACAGCATAAAGATGCCTAAAGAATCCGGTCTCAGTCTCTCCAAGCTCCGGGCTCCCAGAGGAACTCGTTCTGTCGGGTGTCCTTTGAGAACGGCAAAAGTCGGGGCTTGTTTCGGGGCTTCTTAGGTATATAGGGACTTACTTAAGGTATATATAGGGGTCAGATAGGGGAAAAAGATTAAGGGTCGCTTCTAGGGGCGGCTCGGACTTCGAAGACTTCAAAACCCAGTCCTCGAGATGCTCACGGAACCGCCTGGCGGGTAACCCAAATTGGGAACTGGGAGCTTATGAACCTGGCTTTCGCCTCAGATGCCTTGTGCGCAAGCTGCTGTGTGCTGAGGAGGCCGCGAGCCAGAATCCACTTCTACCCATGACCATGAAGCCACTTCTACCCATGACCACCTACCTCAATCTCAACCTCCCACTTTCCACCAGCCTAATCATCGGGTGCACGATCTGCATGCGATCCGAGGGCAGGTGGACGTAGAAGCGAGTGTCTTGCTTCACAATCACCTGCCGCTGCTCTCTACGCCATGACATGAAAACCGTGCCAGGGACACACAGATCAACCTCTGAACACAAGACTCCTACACTCGCTGTGCCCTGCTGAGCAGCCTCCCATTCGGGAGCCAAAGAGTAGCGAAGCGCAAACCTTCAGAGCGGCTGCAACCACTCGGGGCTTCGAAGCTCTGTTTTGGCTCCCTGGCCCAAAAGATTCGGCAGCTTGACACCGCCGGGTGCCACTGGGTGCCCCCGCATGCAATACCAGTACAGATCGGGGTGTGGACGCACACCGAGCTGTGCTGCCATATCCTTCACCATCTTCGGAGTGATCTGGCACCTGCCCGTAGGCGAAGGGAGCCCTGGAAGGGCTGGTAGAGGTTTGGTTGTATAAACTTCGCACGTTTCGTCCATCTGACTGAGCTCGGAACTGCTTCATGTTGTCCGGAATGCCACGCGTGCGCAGGAAGACTCGCATGGCGCTGAGGCCTTTCAGCTTGAACTGCCTCAGAGAGCTCGGGAGTGCTTGGCCAAACAAGCATGCCCTGAAAAGCCCTCGAATCACAATGTCGGGGCAGTCGAACTGTGACTGCCGCACTAGTAGAAACACCTGCGGTTCCCTTCATCTGACAATAGCATAAGGTGGGAACTTGATCTGCGCATCCAGCACATCCGGACCGGTGTTGCCTGGCACAACTGCCGATGGCATCGGCCAGGTCAGAAGCCAATCGAACAAGGCGGCTGTTGTGACATCATCGTGCTTAGAACTGCTCTGCTCCTATAAGCCATGGTGCAGTCGTCTGTCAGATGTCGCGCCAAAAGTGTGTTGTTCTGACACACGCCAACCGAGCCTATGGAAATCAAAAACGGCGATGTCCCAAACCTCTCCAAAGTATCCCTTCTGTGCCCCGGCGCAAGGTTTTAAGGGCACCTCATAAGACCCTCGCAGCCCAAATCAACAGCTCGACCAAAAGCCCTGCCTTTCTGCTGGCGGTTGATGTCTTCCGGGTGGGCCTGGGTCTCCTCCTCTTCCCGCAGCCCTGTCATGTGAAGCTGCTCAGTCCCATCTCTGTGCTTTCAAGAGAGAGACAGAAAAGGCAGCTGCGGCTGAAGAATAGGGAGCTGCCATAAACCATGCGACTCGAAAGATGTTCTGCTTGTGTGTTCGAGGGCTTCGAGCCGGACAGTTTGGTGTTGGCAGCCTATCCTTTTCTCACACATGTGCTCACGGTTCGCGGTGGACGAGCGCCGAGCCGTAATCGAGCATCTCGTCCTTGGACAGCCCGGACTTCGACCCAGCCTAGGCCATGCCACAGACGCTTCGGGATGAGGGGTCGGAGGTCCTTTCTTGCTCACTGGAAACCGCCTTATTGTCAACTGCGCAGCATGTGAAAGACTGCAAGCACCAGCATGCAAACCGCAGCATGCCATGGTAGACGCTTATCTGCCAAGCTCATGGTGCCTCACCGACAGGAAAAGCCGTTCAGGGTTTAGACGTCAGGGTCCATGGCTGCAGCTATAGGACTTGGGGGCTAGCCCTTTGATATAAGATCTTGCTCTTTGCTTGTGTACGCTTGTCACAGGGAAATAGATCACGCGACGTACACCCTGACCACGAAACAGCATCGCTACTTGATGGCTCATATGCAACCTGATGAACAACCACAGATTGATCGCACTCGAAACTCCATGCACACAAAAAAAATCCTGAAAGCACCCTTCAAATTGCTGCAAGAGTTTCCTTCGGTTAATTCCGGCTTGGGATGCCAGAAGACTCCGTGTAGTTCTGTTCAGCTCGGCTGTTGGGCCCCAGCCTCTTCGCCAGCCTTGTCAGGCCCTTCCTCCTGGCACGCTTGTGTTCGGGGTCTTCTACTGGCTTAAGACAACTTTGGGTTGGCGATCCTGTGCCAAGGCCACTAGCACAGGGACAAGCAGCAGAGAGCGACAAGCACCAGTGAGCACAAGAGGCAATGCGGCAACAGCCCGCAGCATCCTCCTCGTCCTCCACATCGGAAAGGGTGTCCTTGTGGATGTCAATATACCTCTGTGCATGACTTTGGACGGCAGCTTTCAAGGCGAGCGCTTCCCTCAACGCAATCGGCATGTGAACGCGCCGAATCCAGATCCATTTTCGTTGCATGCTTGAGGCCTGAAACTGAGAGTGACTCTGTCCATGTAACTCTCTGTCGTGCCGAGGTTGAGGACTTATCTGGGTCACATAAGAACAGTAGAACAGTTCAGTATAGCGCGCTGGGTTGAAGTTGATACGGTTCTAGCACTGGCCCGCAGATACTGCCACCATGCGCCAGTCTGCCTCTGCCTCGACAATGGAACGACTGTTCAGATCTTCCTACCACTTTGATCATTGATTGTTATCACCGTAGATACTGAACGGAACAGCAGGGTCGGTGGCCAACGTGATGGAAATGTGCCTACTTATAGCATGGGAGCGACAAAGCCTCACTACATGACGGCCCCTTGCCACCTCCCCTGCAGATATCAACCTACAGCTTGTGAGAAATGGAAAATCCAGCGAACTGGAAATTTCTCTTCGCTCGCGCCCGACTCAGAACACCCCCAAGGGCAACCAAGGGCCCAGATTCGTCAGATTCTGACTGATCATACTGGGGATTCCCGGAACTAGCTCAACTCCACCACGTCGCGAAGACGGCGCAGGTGAGCCCGCTCGCTATGCATACAACTGACGGGGCCCACGTCTTCAACGCAGCCCCGCCGAGGGATCAACGGGATCCAGAAGGACTCGGCCCGGGAAACTGGCACGAACTGCCGAGATGGCCGAAACCTTGCTGCACGAGCCAAGAGCAGCTAATGAGCAGCCCCTGTGGACCCATGCATCAAGGGAAGAATGAGAAGAGCAGAGTATAGGGAACTCCCAAAATCACGCTGCAGCTGCACGCAAGGTGCGCAGCTCTCTGTTGTACTCTTTGCATCTCTTCGCTGGACTCTCATGATCTTGGACGTAGGCCCAGGGACGGCAAGTGAGGCGAAACTGGTGAACGCGCTGTTCGCGGAGTCCCAAGCCGAATTTCGAGCTCCTTGCGGTGATGGGCGGAGTCGGAAGAGGCCTCAGAGTCGGAGAGTAGACCTCGAGGCATCTCGTTCCGAACAAACTCGAAAGCAGGATCCACTTCAGCACTCACGAGCCGGAAGGTCCGCTGCGGCTCCAGCTTGGGGACCCTGGGCGTGACGCCCGCCAGGACCTCTTCCAAGCTGCTGGCCACGACCACCCTCGTGCGCCTCTCGCAGGGTTAGGAGGGTCTTTTTGTGAAAGGGGCTTTGGGGAGGTTTTTTGGAGAGCCAGGTTGACGTTGCAGAAACCGCCGACCTTGGGCGATGCTTGGCAGCGTTGTTGCGCGTCGAAGGCGGCACGGGCTTCTTCTGCTGCGGCTCGTCCCTGTCCCGTTTTGCCTGCTCCTCCATGTGCTTCAAGACCTCCATACTTTCGGAAAGGTCACCCTGGTCGCTCCCATCCGTGCTCATGTCCGGTAGCGCCCCATCCGCATACTTGTTCAGCATGCCATGAATGTCGGCCAGCAAGCTGACCCAGTCGCCGTCGTTGTCCATGCTCAAGTTGAAGGTCGCCGTCTCACCCTTCGCCGACACCACCAATGAGACCTTCATGACTTCACAAGAAAACATGTTTGACATCAACGAGTTTTGCCAAACTGCACAATGTCGCGCCTGCATCTTGGCCATGGACAGGAAACCGTCGAGACGGAACTACCCAGACAACAAATTGTCAAAGTAAGCCGAAACTGGGAGCGTGCATTCATCAGTTGAAGTTTTCTTGCGTGGGCAGGGCAGTTGGCAGAGGTCTTCACTCAGACTTCACTCAATGTTGAACGAGCCCATTCTGTTGAGCTCCATGTGAATATGGCCATAAATGGCTGTACAAGACGCTGCACAGCTTCGGCAACGCAAAGTCCAAGCGCGGGACTGTTGAATGAATGCCGGGATCTTGCCGAGTGAGAGCGCCTTTGTTGCAACACAGTCAGCGTCATGTTGTCCGGCCGCATGCTATCGCATTGTGCAGGTGCATGAAGCCACAGCCTGGAACGTGCTCTCAGGAAAGCAGCGCAAACGGAGCGTGTAGAGGAAGTCGACGTCCTACGGCCAAGCGGCACGAGGTGGTTTCCTGGATTGAGGAGCACTGCCACGTTGAGAACTTTGGGCAGTCCTCCATCTCTGTCACACTGTCCATGCTCTGTCTCGTGCACCATCCATGAAAAGGGTCGATCCTTAATGATTAATGCGACAATCATTAGCAAGCACTGGTGCCTGACGACATCGGTGAGGCAATCTGCGAGGCATATAGAGGCCCGCACGGCTCACCCGGGTTAGGTGTCACGATCTTGGAGGAGTCTGGAAAACCCCAGGCAAACGGATGGTACATCTGGACCTGGCAAGTGGTCTTCTGCCAAGCGTAACGCGAAAGAGGGGCCCTTGGAACCACACGAGTAAACTTTGAGAGTGTCAGAGGCTTCTGGTTGCAAAAACTTGCACGAAATGTCTGCCAGAGATGCATCCACGAAGTCGATCCTCTGGTAGTAGATGCTCTCTAGTTCTCGCTGAAGCTCAAACCAAAGAATACCGTTGGAGTCCTGGGCAAGGCAGACTCTTGCAAGTCGAACTGAAGAGCCAGGGCCTAAGGCAAGAATCTATCCTTGACGTGCATGCGCAGAAACTGCTCTCGTTCCTTGCAGCGGTGAAATGTGCGGCATGACAGACAGACCAGAAGCACATGCGTTTTGCACATGAACGGTCTTCAGCGCAGCGATGGGCAAGAGCTGCAAGAGCTTTTGCGAACAGTGGGTCCTGCTTGTTCGAGAGGAACGTCTTGGCAAAAATGCAAGCCTCAAGTGCTCTTTTCATGCTTCACTCGCGATGTTCAACTTCGGTTGGGGTCAAAGTCTTGCTTGCCCCCTCAGCCCTGAAGGAGAATGATGAAAACTGGACTCTTAGCTCCTGCGTCAAAATGTTGTCTCAGGCATGCGCGTTCGCACCAACTTTGAATGTCTCGTTGACCAGGTCATTGAAACCTGCACCACAATCAAGAGATGCCTCCAACCCGAAGGGTAGCAAGCATCAAAGCAAGCGTGCTGCAGCAGGGGTCTCCCGACCTTTGTTTTCACCTGCATGCAAACTCACGATGGCCTGGACGGAACATCTGTGACCACCTCGCTCCGCTCCTTGCAGACTCTTCCAGCGCCATTCCTGCAAGAATGCTTGCGGAAGGATGCAACGAAACAAGCAAAAAGCAACCGGGACCCTGAAACAGGGCCCCCCGCGAAAATGTGGCGGCTCCATGCCGTGAGACATTCGAATGGTCGCGGCCCGCACTCTTGGGTCCTGCAAGGGGAAACGAGGTGATACTTGGCCTGGCTGACGGATCAGAATGGCGTGCAAGCAAACCAACCCTGAGCGTCAGTTCTTTCAGCAGCCTTCAAGACCCACGAAAGCATACGACACATTCAACTGCAAGTACACCGTGTCTATGTAGGAGTTAAGGTTTCTCCTTAGCACCTTCGCCTTCCAGTTAGGTCATGCAGCCTCGTGACTAAGATGAGGGTGCGAGCTTTGCCGGTGGTACGTAGGAGGGTTGGGCGGCGGGACGCCGGGACGGTAAGGAGAACTCTGTGGAGTGCGAGCTTTGGCGGCGGGTGGTTCCCTTTGTAAGTCTTGGAGCCACAGTCGTAGTGCCAGAGGTGGCAAGCGTCTGCATCTCATCTGAGAATGCCTCTCAAAGAAGAAGACCGAGAATCGGTCTTCCGGCCTGGACCTAGTTCTTGCATAACGTTGACCTAACTCAACCTTAATCCTGGAACTCACAGAAGGCCTTTCCTACCCACAGGCCTCGGTGTAGAGCTGCCTGTGGGAGACCGGTACCTGAAGGGAAACGAAGGGCTACGCTGTTTGTTATCCTGACATGATGAGTAATATTTCTTTATGCTTGCTGTCGACACGTGCTACTATGGGCATACTTATGTTACCACTATCAACATGATGATTCTGAGTGCGATCACAGTGTTGAGGGCTTAGATGGCATCCAACCCTGCGCAAGCACCCGGCCTTGATGTTGCGGTTCACGATGTCTGGAAGGGTGGAGACTCGCCGCAGGTACTGCTGCCTCACGTGCCAGTTAAAGTTAGGGTTTAGGGTTTGGGTTTGGATTTAGGGATTCAAGGTGTAAGGTTTAGGGTTGTACGGGATCTGCACAAGCCTCACAACGTCTCAAATAGCTTGTCCGTGGTCCAATTAGTTAGCTGCACGGCTACTACTTGGCTTCCACGCTGAAGGTTCATGGGCAGGTTGCGACGCACAAAGTCTCTGTCCTGCACAGCGTGTGCTGTGACTTCCGCAAGACGCTGTGACTTCCGCAAGACATGCATCCAAGCACGTCGAACCCGCAAGACATTGGCTCCTTCTTGATTGCAAGCTGAGTGTCAGGGGTCCTTCGCAGGGAGGCTACACATGGCCAAGCAACGATATCGAGCAATGTCTCGTGTTCATCCCGAGATCTAAGCTGCGCACGATATGCCGGATTCGGCACCCCTTCCGACGGCATCCAGCGTTGTCTGCAGAGCAATTCGAAGAATTGAACAGTGCGCTGCCGGCGCACTAAATAACGGCACTTAGCTCTGGATGGAGTCCGGGCCCACCTGGCGAGCTCGCAGCTCGGCCTCCACTTCGTGCCGCGCGGCCGCCACATCCTCTGGCTCAGGATCGGGCCTCATCCACTGAACGAACACCACTCAACTGCACCCTTGAAACACTTCTTGAAACGATGTGGGATATGTGACCCTCGTCTCCATCAATTTTGCTGCCATTTCTCTCTCACAAGCACTCACTTAGTCACCCCTTCGTGCCGAAACTAGGTCTCGTATTCTCATCACCACGAGGTCCCGGCGCACCCTCGCTTGAAGGCAACGCTGGCACGCTCAACGGCCTGGGAGATGCGCTGGGCCCGTCTCTTGCAACCCCCAGGCTCCTATCGCTGGATCCCAGGGGCACCTCCCAGCCCCTGAGAAACGTCATGTGTTCCGAGGGCTCGGCTTTGTCAGCTCGTAGGATGTGGCAGTCGGCCTTGGCTCAAACCATTTCAGCAAAAGCAAAGAACAAAGCCCGCCCAAAACCCGACAAAACCCGACAGAACTCCGGACACAAACCCTATACAATTTCTATAAACCCTAAACCCCTAAACGAAACTTCCTGATCTTGGAAAGGGCCACTGGGGCCGCAGCGGCTCCGCCGTGAGCGCAGGATAGCCTCCCTGGCAGGGTGCGTGTGGTGCGCGTGGTGCGTGTGGTGCGCGTGGTGCGCGTGCTGGTTTTTGCACGGACCGTCAATGACAGGTGGGAAGGGCCAGGCTGGTGAGCTGCGCCCACTGCCGGTCGGCCTAGAGGGCGTCAAGAAGCGAAGCGAAACATGGCTGTGAACCGAACAGCTCCGACAGTCGTATCGTGCGTGCGGCCATGTGCTAATATGTGCTGTCTGCTGCATGGGTGTGCCATCGCCAGCACGGCCTCCGCAGCTCGAGACCCGCCCATGCTCGCAGCCTCAGAGCACCACAAAAACACCTTCAGGGAGCGGCCAACCAACTCCTTGAAACCCCGCTGAGTTCCATGCAGATTCCTTTGTCATTGCCTTGTTACAAAAACTCTGGAGATGCAGTTCTTCGCTTGTGCTTCGAAAAAACGGTACACAAAACTAACTCCCATCTCTAAGGCCACCGCTTGCGGGGGAAGCGGAATCTCTAACTCCTCGCCTGGCAGAGCTCCCTCTGGCACTGCCACGATCACTTCCTCGCCGCTTAGAGAAAGCAAGATCAACATAAGCCTCGCATGAAAATCATGAAAGGTCATCCAAAAAGCGCTTTGTTGACATGTGCTCTCCGGCTATTCTCACTCTTCTCACGTCCTGGCCACTGGGCGCTGTGAAGGACAGCTCGTCACCGGGTTGAGAACCTGCCGGGATGATGACGATCATGGTGTCCACTGGGGGAGCCTCGGCTGAAGGCGTAGGAGTTCCAGAAGGAATGAGCTGACTCATTGAAGAAGCGACACAGCACGGTACGGCCGCAAGCAGCGTTCCTTTTTCTCCTCACGCAGCTGCCATCGAGGATGCCGCCTCGCAGGATTCCCCCGCCACCCCCCCCGGCTACCCACAGTCCGAGGACACAAGAGGCCAGAGTGAGATCAGCACAAGCCTCTAAGTGAGATCAGCACAAGCCTAAGAGCCCCACCTTTGAAGCGCTCTGGCAGCATAGCTTCTAGACACCTCAAACGCCAGTTTTGGAGTCAACATCAGCCACACTGAGCAACAGTGATAAATCATGTTAGCATTTATGCTCCCCGCCTTCGGCGATCTGCCCAGTACTGTTCGACCAACACATACAGCTCTTCGGCCTGCAGGAAAGCCAAACGGTCCATTCCAAGATGGGCCTATGCCAGTGGCCGGACATGCGCGAACACACGTAATCCCTCCCCTAATATTAAAACCTCCTCTACCCCCTAATAATAAATACCACCCCCCCCCCATATACTCGAATAGTCCTGAACCCTAAACCCTAAACCCTAAACCCTAAACCCTAACCCCCTAAACCCTAAACCCTAAACCCTATATGACTATGACATGTGCAAACACACACCGTGTTGCTTCGCACCTCCTCAGCTGTGTCGGCTTGCGTGGCTTCTTGCTCCGTGTGCCTCGCCAGGTGCCTCAACAGATATGTACAAATATATGCAATTGCATATACATATATATGTGTATATCTACATATATGGCCACATATATATATATATGAGTATATTATGTATATATACACACTACACACGCATACACAAAGATATTACATGGTGCTAGATTACATTACCTTCCGCGTGCCAAACTGTTTTCCGCCACTTGCCCCCAGTGTCGATTCAAATATTCGTAGCACCAGACCCCGGTCTCATACAAGGTGGGGCAAGTGGGGCAAGTGGGGCAAGTGGGGCGCATGGGGCGCATGGGGCGCATTGGGCAAGTGGGGCAAGTGGGGCAAGTGGGGCAAGGAATTGTTGTCGTGATGTCACACTATGTCGAATATGATCATGCATATTCGATCACCCAAAGCTTGAGGAGTTAGAACGCATCCAAGCAGCTGCTTCCAGCGACCCGAGAGCCCGTGCACTGGATGAGCGTCAGCAAACCTCAACTTGCATCTGGCTTTAGGGGAGAGGATTTAGGATTTAGAGTTTACAGGGTATAGAGGAGGGGGCCAATTTATGGAACCCTCCGCTTTCCGAGCGTTCCTTTGAACATAGGGCTTCGCATTCAACAGCCCAACTGTCAACTCCTCTGACACCACTCCCCGGTCGAGCAGCTCCTCCAGCTTCGCCCAAGCTTCAAAGATCCTTGGAAGACCGTCACCACTTTCGGTTTCGGCCTCTGCTGCCCTTCTAACACCCCCACCTTTAACCAACCTTTATGAGCTTGGTGGAGAGACCCTAACCTGCATCAGTGTGTGTCTGTGCAGAACATGAACTGCTACTTAGCCAAGCGACGCTTCGGGCATCGCCTGGCAACCAAGCTCGCTGCCAAGCAGGTTCGGGGTAGAGGTGCCCGGTAGAGGGCTTACAGTTAGGGCCTTCAAGGCTGACGATTCCACGGTCCATCGAACATGCTTCTCAACCTGCACAAGGTCTGCGCCTTTCCCTCCTGTCAGTTTGCACAGTCCGGCCTCCAGCAAGTCCTCTCCCTCCTGAGCATCCACGCACAGGCATGGGCAGCAAAATGCCAGCATATCGGACATCTTCCGACCGGTTTGAAGACATACGACAAGCTCCTGCTCGCGCTGCAGCCAAGCTTTGGCCCCGGTGTGAGAGCCCTGGCAGTGGCTGCATGGCAGCAGCTCCTGCGGTGGCACTATGCTAAGGCCAAGTAAGGCTAAGAAGGCTAAGCAAGGCTAACTAAGGCTAAGTAAGGCAAAGTAAGGCTACGGCACAAGGCTTAAGCAGCTACAGGTTGCTCCTCCGAGGCTATGCTGGCCAGGCAAACACCCGTGCATGTCGAAGGCCTAAGGACTTCGATCCACAGTCACCGTGCTGAGATCCACTTGTGCGAGGGCCGTGAGCCATGGGTCACCGTATTCGGACAAGCAGCTGGCCGCCGCAGCTGCCGGAATCTCCATCAGCCTCCTCTCGAGGGATTTGCGAAACTCAGGAGGCTCTTAGTGTGCAAAGGCTCTTGGTGCAAAGGCTCTCTGGCGATGTTCAACTTTTTCAGATGCTGTTCATCCTGTTGAGTTCAGGCACCGGTCCCCTCGTTCCCTCCTTCCTTCCAAGCCCGTTAGGCAATGATTCGACGCGATTTGTATTCTTAGTCTGCTCTCTTCGTCCTCTCCCTTCGTGGTCTGTCCTACAAGATTCCCCTCGGCAACTCAGCCTCCACGCCCCAGCCCCCCCTGCACCTCCTACTGAATAAATACTCTCCAATTCCCCTCGTGCTTTTTGGACTCTTGACGTTTCTCCATGCTCCAGACCTCTAGTCACAGCTCTCTCACAAGGGTGTCATGGCGAACCAGCTTGATCAAACTGCTGAAGCTCGGACGAGAGTTCAGGACTTCGTGCTCTTTTTAGGTGACTGTTGCTCATGCAACCGCTGGGTATGTCGGACAAAGGCAAGGGAAAGATGGTCACAAGAGCTGCATGGTAGCATGTTTGGCATGGTGTACACGAGCACGAGCCCACCCCGAAGACAGCCCTTGACATCAAAGCTTGCACAGCTTCCCACGAAAGGATGCGAGTTCGTCACCCCCCTGTCCTCCGTATCAATCCACTGGGGTGGACGATCCCTCAGGCTCTGGCATGTGAAGCGGCGAGTGTCATCCTCGGCCCCAAAAACTGCTGGCATTGGCAGGGGACGGCATGAGGGCCAGCGATTGCAAGCGTCTCCATGCGCCAAGCTGCTGCCAAGGACACACAACGGGTGCAGCGGCAGTCGAAATCCCAGCGATCCAAAAGAATCTTCTTTCCTAGGGAACAGGACTCAGGCAACTGAGGGTGGAAGACTTGGAGAGGACGCGCGCAGACCCAAGGACCCAAAGCATCCAAGCCTCGCTGTGGAGTCGCGCGTGCCAGATCCGAGTCACACAAGTAGCTGGTCAGGATCTCATCCCCCTCCGCAATGGGAATCAAGCACACCAGCTCCCCAAAGCCATTCTCTGACGCGACGGTGGTCACGTTGCTGAGGCAGGAGTGATTGACTTTCGAGATGGTCGGGTACACCAGCTGCCACGTGCTGTCCGAGGAAACGTAAGAGTTGTACC